TTTTTTCTTCTTCACAGAAATAATATTGTAAAAAAACACATCAGTTGTTTTTCTTTTTTTTTTTCTTTGAATAATCCTGTATTAACTTACAATTTATTTTGTTTTTGTTTAGCGATATCAATCCATGATGGTGTTGGTTTATTATCATTAGTAGCAACTTTATTATTAGCTGATAAATGAACACCAGCAAGTGTTTTTCGTCGATTTGGTGTTGATGGTGTATGAATTGATTCAATAGTTTTATTGGTTGATATGAATGATTCATTCTCAGATTTTATAGATGGAGATAGTGGTGCTGCTATATGATTTTCTTCGATAGGAACAGTTGAAAGAGTTTCAAGTATTGTTTCTTCATTTGGTCGAATTCGTCGAATTGAACCACGTTTTTTTAATTGATTAAAAACATTTTCAAATTCATTTGTTATTTGTTTATCATTATTAGATGTTACATGCATTGTAATTGGTCTTAAACGTGTTGTTGTTGTTATTGGATGTTCTCTTGTTTTAACGACAGTCATTGTTGATGATGATGATGATTCATCATCATTTGATGATAAAATAATATTTGGTTTAGGACGTTTAAATACATCTAAATTATCATAAATATGTTCTTGAGATGATGAACGTGATAATGATTTTGTTGGACTTGAATTATTAATATTTGTTTGTTCATTATTATTTTCATTTTCTATTGAATGTTCATTTAATATTGAATTATTTTCAATAGATTTATTAGTTAATAAAATATTTTCATAATTTTCTTCTTTTTTTTGTTTTAATATTGATTGATTTATTAATTTTATATCATTAATTTCTTGAATTCGTTTAAAACTTGTTGAACGTTGAATAGGATTAGTAAATGTTGAAATATTTGATGATGGAATAGATGATATTTCATTATTAGTATTAGAATTCGTTGCTAAAAGTATATTATCAGCTGAACGATCACGTGAACGAACTGATATACGAAGACGTGCTCGTGCTATATCCAAATCAGATAGATCAATTAATGGTTGTGGTTTTTTTGACTAGAATAAAACATAATAGAAATTATAATTGTCTATTTCGTATATTAGAAAAATGAATGTCTACTCGACAAGCCATATGTCAAAATCAAAATAAGATTGAAACGATGAATTTTAGAAAATATTTTCAGTCACTTCAATCTTTAGAAAATATCAACAACTCTGGTAGAAATATTCTAGCAAAATAGTATTCTTTAATTTCAATGCTGTGGTCTTCCTTGCAGACATGAGGAAAAGTTTGCATAGAGACAAGCCTTAATGAGAATAGTTTATTGTAAAAGTTTCAGATCTTTTGATTTACTCTTGTTCTGAAATAAGAATATCGGTAGTTTTTATCTGTTCATTGTGAGTCAATAAGAATCATTGAAAATGCTTAAAAATGAAGGAAAATGAGAGTTTTATTTTTAATCTTATTACTGAAGATTTTCTATGATTTAAATTGATTTCCAATAATTTTTCATCACGCGCGGTATTAAGCTAATAACATGTACTCTTTTCAAGGATTTCGAACTCATTAGAATCTACATGATGCACATTGCTTCGATTTAAAAGCAATTCATTAATTGAAGGACGTCCGTCATAAATAAGATTAAATATGATGTCAAATATGTATTCGGGACCTTCTACGAATACAATAAATAGTTAACTGTCTCTTTTCAATCATTCTTCTTCATTGTTTATTGATAAACAATAGTTTCATATCTATGACAATATAAATATACATATCTATGTTAAAACATTCTTCCGACTACAGTCATTTTATTTTCCAAAAAAAAAAAATTTACCTCCACGCGTGTTGTAGCAATGATTGATTGTTCCTCTTCTGGTGTTGATGATATAGCTGAAAATATTAAATGTAATTTATTGAAAAAACAAAATATGAGAAATGAGAAAAACGATAAACAAAACTCAATGTCAATAAATTGAAAATGTTCGTAAATTTTTATTTAACTTTTTCATTTTTGTTTTTGTCGTTGAATTTGTTCTTGTTGTAGCCGGTAATGAAAATGAACTTTTGAGTAGATAACGCTGTTTCGGCGGTAAAGGTGGTGGAATTTCATTATCTATACTCAAAATGTCTCAAAATTTTATTTTTATTTAAATAAATTTGTTAATTCCCTTTTCCCGAATAATATTACACCTTAACCTGTTAATATCGAGTAACAATTCTACTTTTTTGTCTTTTTTTTTACCTTCAGTTTTCGATGAAAATAAATCAATTTCATTATCATCAGTTTCTCGAAGTGTACTTAACTAAAAAAATGAAAGAAAGAAAATATAAGTATTCTCAGTTTCAAAAATCATTCTGAATAAATTTTAATAGGAAGAATATAAAGATGTGGTATTTTCACCATTCACAAGAGAAGACCTTGAGCTATCTACAGATGTTGAAAACGATATTCTGAAATCTCTTTTCTTGCGATCTACCCAATCCTCAACTTTCTAGCATGTTGCATTCCAGAGTTACAATGATTTTCCTGTGACACCTCAGATTTCAAAGAATTGGCTTCGAACGAGTTCAAGAGAAGAGCAGTTGATCATGCTGAGTTGAATGATGATAGTTGAAAGCGATTTGAAACTACTTTTTCAAATTTCGATTTCTATGCTGTATAGAGAAAATTTCCGAAATTTCAAAAATACTAAAGTAATAATCTCAAATCACTCGACTCAACATGATAAATTTCACCTGTCTTGAGCTTGGTTGAGGTCGATTTGTTGTAATCGAAGGTAAACCCTTCTAACTCTTGAATGGAATATGCTAGATGGTTGAGAATTTTTTTTCTATCGATTGTTCATATTCTAATCCAATGGGAAATGGCCTCGGAATATCGTTTTCGACATCCATCGATGACTCTCAAGGTCTTTTCTATTGAATGGTGAAAATTTCAGATCTCTATGTTATTCCCATTGCTATTTGAAAATTATTTATTTTTACTTTTTGTTTAATTGGTTGTCGTCGTTTATTTTTAACTGAAATGCGATCTCGTGCTGCTGAATGTTCTAATTGTTGACATGTTGATGGTAATGTTGGAAATGTTGAATTTGGTACTAAGAAAAAAGTTTGTTGTTTTTTAATTCTTATTTCTTTTTTTTTTTACCTTCATCTGTTTGTACTAATGATTCCTATGTAGAGAAAAGAAAAAAGTATAAATTCAAAATTTATTATTCATCTTTGTCTTTTTTCTTGTCTTACAACAAATGAAGACATGTGATCAGCAACCGATGTATACGATGAAGAACTTTGTGATGATGCCTAACAATAGAAAAATAATTACTCATTAATTCAACAAAAATATAAAAAAAACAAAGAACATTAATTATCATATTGTTCTCATTCACACATACATTTATAATATAAATAATATATGCTTACATTCGAACGAGGAGGTTTTTTCGGAATAATAATTGGTGATGATGATGGTATTGGTCGACGGCCAGCATTAATAATATTACTTGTGGCAGTAAGTTTTTCTACCTATTATTATTATAAAAATAAAGAATTATGTTTTAATGATTACAAATAAAAAAAAAAAAAGAAAAAAAGACAAAACTTCTTTTTCACCTGTGCTTTTATGAATGGACTAAATTTCGTATGAGACATTTCTGTGTTTCTTTCTGCCGCAATTATAAGTTTATTTTTCAACAAATGTAAATGCAGAACACACTTTACTCAGCTTTTCAATTGAGGATAACGTCAATGATAAGATGAAAAATGCAGATGCAATAATATGATGAAGTAAGACAGCACAGAACAAAAGCAGCGACAAGCAAATCAAGCGAATAGGCAAAAGAAAGCGAAGCAGACTGCAAAACGACGGGAAAAAAAGCAATGAAGGGGAGGAAACGAAAAAGAAAACAAATATGGTTACACACCTGACGGCGCGGGTCTCAACTGTGACATTTTTTTTTCAAAAGTGGCAATCAAATTTTTCGTAATAAATAATTAACTTTTCTATAAATATAAGCATGCAAAATGGGAGGTAAAACACTATAGCTGCTTTCTACATATACCTGACATTATTTTCAAGTGACTGTCTGTGCATAAGAAGAAGAAGTGCATATTTTTCTTTTAAATTTCACATATATATTGAAAAAAAAAAGAATGAACTTCACCAAATAAACATACCTGATTTGTTGTATCATTTGAACTTGTACTTATTAATACAACATCATTTAAACCATCTTGTGAATTAGCCTTTTTTATAGGAGGCGTATGACTATATACACATATCATTAGAGAAAAAATATAAAAAAGTCAAATCTTACTCATCTATTGGTACATCGCCACCTAGAGAAAAGATTGTTGGACGACCAATAATCTTTTCACGAAGATATTTAATCATTGACTCTTCTAAAAAATAATTTATTTAAATATATCTATATATTGAATTATAAATAATATACAACAAAGCAAAAGCAATAGTTATTAGAATAGCACAGACGACATTAACAAAGCATTATAATAACCCACCATCATCCACTACTGATACCATGTCATTATTTCCGCTCATTTTTCTACGACTTATCTTGATGCTGAAAAAAGCAATGATATTCAATTAATTTGTTATCTACTTTACCTGTTCAAGGTTGTTTCTTTTAATATTATATCTGAAACAATCAAAAATAATATCAAACGTATGATCAAAAAAAGAGTAAAATTTCTATCGCGAATGTTCTGCTATCATTTGTTTTGTTCATATTATTTAACAAAAGAAGGCTCACAACTAAATATGGCCAAAAAGGTCTCTTAGGTATGTCTTCTCTGCGCCCACATCCTATATAAACATTGTTGATGTCCGTCAAATGATTGTTGCTCTTCATGAAACTATACCAGTAAAATATCATACTTTAGTTTTTCATGTCGTTTTTTTGTTAAACAAGTATATATACATAGCACGCGACCTCTGCTATGCAGCTATATAATTAAATTAAATTAACGTTGTATAGTTTTAAGAGAAGACTTAAAATTAAAAAGTAGTGCGAGACTTTTATCATCAACTGTAAATAAATATGGGCAAGATAGATCCGCTTATGTCTATTCCCGATTAAGGCGATGTTTTAACTATCAATAGGCCTTAGTGAGACTAGTAAAAGGACAACACTTTTTGAATCTTATTTCCGAACTTCTAACTGTTTTCGGCATTTGAACAAAGAGTAAAAAAAAAAGATCTAATAATTGAGGTTTCAATCTAAAATATTGTCTAATGTTCAATAGAAGATTTTGAATGTTTCAGCTAAAATACATGTTTCCTTTTCGAAATATTGAAATTTTCAAATATAGTCATGAAAATCGAGTTTTCCTAGAAAATTCAATTATTAGATTTCACTGTTTATACCTTGCTCAGATACTGAAAATTAATGAAAGTAGCTGAAACTTCAGAAACAAAATCCAAATTCGTGAAATATGTTGCCTAAAGTAATCGATGTTGCTTCATTTCTATATCTCATTTAATAATAATTTCCGTACTACTTTAAGAAAGAAAAAAAACATATGAAGAAAGATAACACTAATAGCCATTAGATATAATAGTGTACACTTGTCATCAGTGCTATTGACCGATTACGTAACTGTTCATGAGGGTGGACAAAAATTTAACCTACATAGAACTGAACAAACAAACATATATTGTATACATAAACTTATTCTAACACATCATCATTAATAATTAAAATTGATAGAAATTCAGAATGCGGATTCGCTTCTAATTCATACTCTCACTCTCGTTGCTAAAAACATTTTTTTTTATCTTCTAAAATATGATTGTTATATTTCTAACATCACAATAAAAATCTTTATTCTTTTACTACTCTAATACATCATTTTTCGACAATTTTATTTTTTGAATTAATTTAAGTTTGCCGATTTCAGATAATTCTATTATGAAATTATAATCAATATTCGTACACTATCGTTATGTATTTGATGAAAAAAGAAATTAACAGGGAATTCCTATTACACATTCAATACAATATGATGTTTAGAATGAAAAGCTATGAAGTTCCGAACCAACAAAGAATTTTGACCATTATCTTTAAAACATTTTTTATCTTTCAAGAACTTTCTCAACTTAATGACTTCTTCATATCCTTCTCACAAATAACAATATGTTGAAGTAAATAGATGATACTATTCAATGAGGGAAAACAAAATCTCTAAACAAAAAAAAGAAGACCGTCTTGAATTCAAAATTAAAACAATAAACAAATGAGAGAAAATCTTTTTTTTTTTTCTATATTAACTCATACATAGTTACGATGAAATGTACATACAAAAACCAAAGGAATATTCACGCTGCTAAATGTTAATTATACTATTATTCCATAGATGAATTTTGAATAGCCGTTGGTGGTGGTACACCTGGTGGCATCATGCCAGGTGGTGGCCGTAATGTCATTAATGTTGTCATTGCAGCTGGATTAGGTGGTGGACCTAATGGTCGCATGCCTGGTGGTAATGTAAATGCCCATGGTGGTGGTGGTACAATACCTGGCATGCCTGGTCGTGGTGGTGCAATATTTGGATTGATAAGACGTGGTGGCATTGGAAATGGTGCATTAGGCATTTTACCCGATTTAAAAGCAGCTGTTGTTTGATCAATCTAAGAAAAATAAAAAATAAAAATAAACAAAATAAAAATAAACAAACCAATTTTTGAGCTTGTTCTTCCATCCATTTTTGATAATAATCACGTACATTTTCTTTATGTTTTCTTCCTTGACAATGAGTTTTACGTACAGATGGTGAATCATGTGTTAAATATGTATCGCAATAATCACAATAATATTTAGGCATATCGACTAGAAATTATCTAGAATTGTTCACGTGAAAAGAATAAAGAATAAATGAAAATATCTGAAATGTGTAAAGAAACTTACGGCCGACATAAACCAATCAATAAGAAGATTAACATCTATCGAATTATATTTATTATAAATAGATGTCACTAATAGACATTGAACTTTTTCTGTTCGATGTTTTGATTTACATAGTGACGTAATGAGAAGATCGTGGGTGGTAGAACAGTGCTCGACGATCCTAGAGGACAGTCGATGATGATAATTATTACGTTTTTTTTTCTTATAGTGATAGGGCGGTATCCGGCTTAGCTCACTCTTGATTACGACACTAGATCTACAATATTCAATTCTTGAAGAGTAACATTTATATTATTCAGCATACATATCTAAAGAAAGAAATTATAGTTATTATTATAAGATTTCTTTTTTCTCTGAACCATTCAATTCATCATTTGTAAGAATCAATCATGACTCTGAATAAAAAAGAAATTAATTATATATAGGTTGCTTAAATAATCATATTATTTTAAGATTGCTATAAACTTCTGTCAAAAAGCCATTAATTAAATTGATTTCATTAGTTTTTGTATAACCAGGTGTGTCCTGAATAGAACTCAGCTTAATTATTGAATTGTGATCAAAGAAAAACAAAATTGTTCGATAATAATTTTCATGTTAGATGTGAAAGAATAATTACGACATACAAAATTGTGACTAGAATTGATATATCATTTTGAAGAGAAGAAAATTTTGAATACAATGAATCAAATTAGAATTAATTTTTCACATCTAACATGAATATTATTATCGAACAATCTTTTTCTCTCTGGTCATGCCGGGCTCTAGTCTCAAGGTAATCTTGGCATGAGGATGAAGCATGTTTTTGGAAACTGGTAGGGAAAAAACACAATAAAACGCTGGAGAAAAACGAAAATTTTTCAAGGTTGGGTTTCTCCCGGTCGGAATACTCCAGTAAGTATCCGATTTGTTCAAAACAGGTTTTTATGTTTACTCAATAGTTAGTAGCTATATACAAAGAAAAGTGCATGTATATTTTATTAATCGTATCATCCAGAGGCAAGATATTCCTCCATGTAAAATAAGGATTTTTCAGTGTATGATAAGAAAATTACCTTTTGCAAGAGAAATTTAAGAAAACAAACAAGATTAGTTCTTTTGATTTAGTTCAATGATATAAGAAAGACGATCACTTTATAGTCTATTGTTTGTATTAATTAAAAACAAATATGCTGATGGTTTATATAAGTATTGCCAGGTGTTATTAGTTTTGATTTTCTAATATATATCTTTTCAATTTAGATGAATCGCCACGACGATAAAGCCTTGATAAACATCTCTATCATCAGCGTTTTTTTTATCGAACTCCAATTTTGTTTCTTATGGTCATTTTTGGTTACAAAAAAAAACCAAAAACACATATGTTGTACATATTCTTAATTTTTTCGATTCATTTCGTTTATTAGAATTTTTTCAGTGTATTCTTTCATCACATAATGATATCATTTTTTTTTTAGTTATTAATATAATTGTTTGTACTGTCCATGCACAATTTTCTCTTTGATCATCTTAATGCAACAAAACAAAAAAAAAATTAATTTTAAGAAAGTGAATCGATATATTGTTTTCAATTATAAATTTTATTTTTACTATTTGCATATTAAAGTTTTGTCAAGATGTAAATACATAACGGATGATCGAAAACTTTTCATTCTCTAGAAAATATTTTCGACGAGTCAAAAGTTATGAGTTACGAACAGAATTTTGTGTTCTTATTGAATATGTTAAATTTAAGACGTAATCAAATATTCAACGGAAATAAATTTTATCAACTGAAAATGAATTGAGAAATATTTAATTTGTACATTTGAAATTAAATGTTCTAAACGGCTAATGAATTTAAATTTTTTCAATTCTTAGTTTGAAATAGTTGGTATCCAAGCCTTAAAGCTTGAGACAGGTTAATATTTGAAAGTGAATTCATCGTATATCTAATGAATAAATAATAATTGAACTGAATAGACTACTACTTAGTATTAACTTTGATAGAATCATAGGAAATTTGACTAAGTATTATGTATATATAACTATGAATATTTTTCCAATCGATTGATAGTCAATCAATATGAGATCGAACTGTTTTATTAATTTAGTGAAGTCTAGAGTTAACTAACTTTTCTTATTGTTTTCATTTTAATTATCTCAAATATTGAAAAAAATACAAAGTACACAAAAATTGTCTTATGGTAGAGCTCATAGCAATTAAACGAAACCTTATAATAGAGATTTGAAAACGAATGATATTCGATTCGATCTTAAAATTCTATTCTCGCATTGAAACGAATTTTTTTTTTGATATTCCATTCTCGAGATCATCGCGACACAAAATAGTCTCTGAATGACATTGTCGAAATAGTAAAGTATGGGCAATTTTCTTTGGAAAATCAGCTATAATATTCTGTGATTTATACTTTCTACTTTAATTATGTAGCGATAAAATCAGATTTAAATAGTTCTTTCCATTTTTCAGTTTTAAACTGTGATATTTATTATTTTTTTTTATAGAACAATCAAAAAGTGGAGAAAAATGATCTTTAGTCGAATAGGAAGCGTAACTGTTCTTTTAAAGAACGACGGATAATCTCAAGTCATTGGTGGATACTGATCAATTTACGTAGACATCGAAAACAAGGAGCTCCTTTTACAAATCGAAACATATTGTAGATCCATACATAATGATGACACACATGGACATGTGTAAGACATGATAGCGAAGCGAGATCGACGTACCAACATTGTGCGATGTTCGATAATATTTGCTTTGACTAGATAATCTTTTGCATACTCTATATCATTGAGCTGCTCATATATAACAGCCATATTTTCGTAAGTAACTGCACGGTCCGAATGATCAAGAGGTAAAGATTTATTTTCGATATCTAATGCTTTCTGATAACTGTCTAGAGCTTGATCATATTCCTACATATCAAAGTAAATTGCAGCTAATATTTTATATGTGAATGCTAAGTCGTAATGATTTTCTGGTAGACGTCTCTTTTGGAGAGCTAATGCTTCTTTATGACATTGAGATACTTGTTCGTAGTTCTTTTTAGTTCGATAGAAGTGCCTCATATTTGTGTACAATTTTGCTAGTTGAGATGAATTTTCATTTTTCTTTTATCGAAAAATGTAAAGAGCTTTATTATAGTGATCTAGAGCGCATTGATATTGTTTTTGTTCTTGAAAACTGTTACCGATTGCCGTATAAATTTCTGCTACAGTTTGGAGATCTAGTTCTTTCATAAGAAAGACAAAATTCAAGGCAGTATTAAATTCTTCAAATGCTGCATCAAATTGATTATGATTCTCAACAACGTAACCTAGATATAAATGACATTTGGCTATGTCAATAACATTCCCATATCATATAGAATATTCACAAATGTAACTATACCAAAGTCGCTATCAACTGCGATTGTCCTATTTGCCTTTAAATGATTCATTAATATTTGCATATCATCTTCAATACTGCCGGATAGCTGAAGTGAGACAATATATATGTTGTTTTCTTCATAGATGGGCAAGAGACGATATATAGAATCAACCATAAATAGAATTTCTTCTTCATCATCGCCAAATTTACTATATTGTGTAATGTTAGCAAACGGTCTTTCTTTATTCTCCTACATACTGGGATCAGCAACAATTTCAAAAAGAACTGATATTAGACTTGAATCGAATTGGTTCGACGAGGTTAAAGTAGCATCTGCAATGTAAAATGCAGCTTATTGTCGATCGAGATTAGTAGCAAGAAAAGAATTCATTGATATAAGATCATCGATAGAACTTTTTAATATGTTTATTTCATCGGATGACATCAACTGTTCACGATAAACTTTCACAGATGACTGATATTGATTGTTAATTAGTTCACGATGAATATCACGTATGAAAAATCGAAGAAGAAAAAGTAATTCTATATTTTACAGACGAAGTGCTTTATTGATAAGAGAAAATAGAAAGATGAGTTTCGTATACTATCGCAATGCGTCTTCTGGCTTGTAATCGTTGGAAAATATATGCAGATCTTTAGATCATTTTTCATTACCGGACAATTCTTTTACATAAAGTTCAACAAATTCATTCATGTCCGTGGATTGACATTTCATGTGTAGAAAAGTATTGATTAGAAGTTGAAAAAAAAGAAAATTGCCATTGATGACACAAGATGAAAAATCTTTTTTACTATTCTGTTTAAATATATCAATCGATAAAGCGTGAGCTTCTCAACAGTGAAACCAACGTGCTTCAAAGTGTTTTATGTGTTTGATAAGTTTATCAAGTGGATTGGCTGAATATTAAGATATGAAAAGATAATCAATCGCATTGCGTTTTGAGCTATAGATCTAAAGTCTTTCTATCTAACATACATGTCAAACTCAAAATTTTATTGGAACTAAATCACATTACTATACGTTTGTCGAAAAGATTTACAAAAATGATTGGCTTGGTGGCAATTTCAGCTTGCATAATGTTATATAAAAACACATCCCCACATTACCTTTGTCAATTTCTGAAAACTATAGATCACTAGCTGCTTTCATTCTCGAGTTATTCAATTTTTAACTGTGTACTTCTAAGTCTCGCGCTAACATTAGTTATTGTACACATAATTAATCCTGTACTTTAATCAGAATTTGTTTGAAAAACTCGAGAAAATCTAGTCAAGTCTTACTACGGGTATCTCGAGAATTTTATTCTATCCTAGAAATTAGATGTAAGACTTCCATATCCACAAATGACCTATTTAATCTAAAGTTGCAGTACCATTATATAGATCACCTTCGATTCTATAAAGGTTAATTATCATATTTGATATTGTATTGAAAATTTTTCTCCTTGATTTTAGTTTACTATAATAAATAATCCAAAATGGCAATATAGTTCTAATCAGTAATACATCTAAAAACAAGAATG